AGAGAGAGAGAGAGAGAGAGAGAGAGAGAGAAAGAGAGAGAAAGAGAGGGGCAGGCCTCTGAGGCTACTCAACTGAGCTATTCTAGGCTTCACAAATCAGGGAAGGTATTTGAATCGCTTTGGCCAGCGTGGCGGAACGTGGCGACGAAATTAAGTCGTGTTGGGGATGTAAGATGTTCGAATAAGTCCACAAACTGAATCAGTTTTTTCTGACAAGTACCAAAACTGGTTCTAAATGTCAGTCCGTGACACGTGGATACGACCTCCCTGGAGCGGGTGGGCAGGCCGCCTGGGAGGTAGGCAGGCCCGTCACGCTACCGTGCCTCGCGGCGGCCTACCTCACGGCGCCCCGCCCTCACAGCTGATGTGAGAAAGTCGAGAGAGTTGACGTCTCGGACTGACAAAAAGAAAACTTCTATTTTTTATCACTCGTGTTTCACCTAATTGCTCTGAAAATATTTCAGATGTCACCCAGGCAAAAGTTACCCAAATTTGATGTTTTCCCCTGTTTTATTCTAAGTCGCAAACCGCCTATGCGTCTATTTCATTTCTTACGCCGCGGCCCTACGAAAAGTACATCGTCACGGACTGACAGGGAATCGTCACGGACTGACACTTGTGATTTGCTTGACAAGTTATAATTAAATCCAATAGTCGATAAATATCATCAAGATCCATGCGTTTAGTCATAGAATAAATGTGTTTTACCACAATACTTAGACACTTTTTTGCCAGTCGATGACTGTGACGTTTCGGGTAACAAATGTTGTTGAACAGAAGAACAGATTTAGAAACTTTAGACTATGTAGTGCACTTGAAAATTTTGAGAAGAGTAAAAGTTTGAATTTCAAGTTGAAGCCTCCGCGTTAATTAACAGGACGTGCACACGCCCTCGAATAGTGGCCGTACTCGTGATCTGTGACCAGTCCTTGCATGCATAGTAGTGGTCACAACAGAGGTCATTGGGGTCGTCCGTCCGGACCGCCGCGGCACCGCGTACAGATGGTGTTCGGATAGAGTGAGACAATGGCCCGCGGGCGCTGTATGGTGCCTCCTGCGCGCCTGATCACACCGCGCCCACTCGCCCTCACACAATCGGCAGCAGCCCGGCGGCAGCCCGGCGGCAGGAGCGGATGTGCAAATGTGCACAGCTTGGCACGTGACCGCGTCGAGGCTTTAGCCTCTCCCCGTCGCCTGCATGGCACGTGTGAACTGCTGCGCCTGGAGCTTACAGGCCTTAGAGGTGGCTTCCAGGGCCTTGTGTTGGGGGATGGGCATGGGCAATGGGCATCATAGACAGTGCACTTCGAACTTTGAGAGTACAGGATAAAACTAAAACAACAAAGCAAGCTGTCGTTTTATTGGTTCTATTTTT